CTGCGCATTTTGTTTGTCTACCAGCTGATTCAAATCATCCGCTTGTTAGTAGAGACTCACATTCAAAATGTGCACTGGAATACCTGTAAAATTCAAATCAAGTCAAGTCAAAGTTAGTTGTATAGCGCCTTTTACAATACACACTGTTTCAAAGCAGGTTGACAGAAAAGCATGTTACTGTTTATAATATTTTAACATATTCATGCCCTATAGTCACATGTAGCAGTGTTGGGTGATAATATAATTTACATTTTGCGATGTTACAAGCAATCAAGCTGCTGAGATACACTATATAGTAGCCTATATATCGCTCTACGCAAGTATACTATAGAGATAAAGTTGGACGTATTGGCATTGATGGTTCCATGAAAACCTTTTAACGTCCATGGAACCTTTCTATTCCACAAAACGTTCTTTATTTTGGAAAATGTTCTTTACACTAAGAAACAAAAAAGAGTTGACTGAAAGATTCTTTGGGGAACCAAAAATGCTTCTTCTATGGCATTGCTGTAACCCCCCACCCCCCTTTTCAGACCTTTATTTTGAAGAGTGTGTCCAACTTTAAAATCATTCTGTCATGCTTCTAAACATACCTAATGATAATGTCTGTGTGCTTTCATCCAGGAACTTGGGTGAAAAAGAGAAGGGCTGTCTGCAGGAGATCGGTTTTGAGGAATTCATTACTGTCCTGTCCTTCTTCAGACCACCCAAACCACACACTGCTGACGAAGAGATGAAAAACATCAAGAAGGAGAAACTACGCTGTGAGAATACAGATGGTCTTTCTATTGCAGCTTTCTTTTAACGGATATCAGTGTTATATTCATTGATATAGTATTATAATTTTATTTTATTTTTCAATTTCCTGTCTTCATTTTATTTTTTAAATGTTAGTAATTTTGTGTTATCATTATTTTTTTAATATATATCTACATAGTTTTTATTAAATATATACGTGTAGACACTGTGGGCCAGATTTACTATCAGCTTGCGCCAGTGCAAACCCTCATTTGGCATTAAAAAACTATTTTCACTATTTACTAAAAACACGCAGTGGGAAATTAGCGCTAAAAAAGGCATGGGCACAGTTATTTTTGAGACTCGTCTTATTGAATATGCATTTGTAGGAATTTTCCTTTCGATCTGTAAATTTATGGGAGGAGAGTATTTAAATGAATCACGCAACGTGATTTACTAAGATTTGCGCTCGTCAATTCACTGGTATTTGCGGCATTATTTAACGGCCAAAAAAGAAGCATGTCTTAAAGCAGGCGGTAATTTGTCCTGCTCTTGGTAGATTGCGCTGGTCATTATGGAAATGAGATGTTGCATCTGTGTTCTTTAATGTGTGCATTGTCAGTAAATCACACGCAGAAGTTTCCCCTCCCATCGGCGCTTTTATGGAATTGCGCTCTAACGCTAATGTGCCGTGTTTAGTAAAATGTTTTGGTTTATTTTTAGTTCTTTTAGTATCTAATAGTGTTGTCAAATCAATTAATCGCAATTAATCGCATCCAAAATAAAAGTTTGTGTTTACATAATGTGTTTGTTTCTTATATACAAGCATGTATGTGTGTGTATTTATATGTACATATAAATATTTACAGTACACACAAATTGTATGTGAACAAACATTTATTTTGGATGCGATTAATTGCGATTAATCAATTTGACAACAGTTGTACTTAAACTAAACAGAAATGAAAAATGTTGCCTTGGCAAATAGCTGAAATAAAATATTTTTAACATTTTTTTTTAGTTAATGTTAATTTATTTCTAAACAAAGTTTAAGCCTCACTATGTCGCTTTTTTTCATTTATACTTGTGAAAGTCAACTTCTTTCAGCATTAATATAGTTTTGAGGTTTACATTTTTATTTTGATAAATGTCTTGGTCTCTATAGTTCTATTCAACATGCATGACACTGACAATGATGGCGTCATCACGCTGGAAGAATACGGACGTGTAAGATTCATCTCTTATTTAATATGAGTGAGTGAGTGACGTGACATGTGGCCAAGTATGGTGACCCATACTAGGAATTAGTGCTCTGTATTTAACCCATCCAAAGTGCACACACACAGCAGTGAACACACACACCGTGAAAGTAATAGTTATATCCCCCTACTAGGAATATAAAACTACAAAACACATTTATGGCTTGTTTGACCGCAGTGTGACTGATTGTAGGTGGTGGAGGAACTGCTGTCCAGCTATGAAACCATAGGAGCAGAAACCGCCAAAGCCATTTCAGATGCTGCAATGCTGGAGGTGGCGAGTGTCACAGTGGGTCAGATGGTACGCTGGCAATCCATGATGGGCTTAAACATTTGAAAGTTCTAATGTGATTTTTCTAATTGAAACCTGTTGATCTGGTCCTTTTTTTGGTTTAGGGTCCTGATGAATTTTATGAGGGAATCACCTTTGAACAGTTCATGCAGGTTTGCACTTGTATAATATGAATTATAATTAAATATAATGCACGCTGCTCAAACCTCGCCCTTGAATGTCTCTCCCACAGATATTGAAAAATTTAGAGATCGAGACCAAGATGAATATTCACTTTTGGAACTTGGACACCAGGCCGATGCAATGTGGGAAATGAGTCACTTCTGCTTCACAGCAGCACTTTATTTTAGATCTAAACATGTCAAATTTGTCTCATGGATTCAACTCTTAGTATTGAGTTCTTTCTCTGAAATATCTTAAATGCTTAAGATATGGAGGCAGTGAACATGAGTCAGGAGCAAACCAAACGTGCAAAGTATTTCTATATATTTGGAAGACATTTATCAACCGCATGAAGCCCGGCTATTTTTGTGACTTCATATATTCACATATGTACAATGCAAGGCATTTTGATTCATACATACTTTCAGATGCTATGTAACAGTGGAATTGAGCCGTGCGATCATAAATTTCCCTTCTGAGCAAAGTGCTGATTTTATAATGGAGGAAGTCTTGGAAATCAACAGTCAAACCAGTGCTTAAACACATATACTCCACGTATACTCCACACCCAAAGTTAATGAATCCACAAATCTTATCAATCACCTCAAAAACAGCAGGAAGTGATTGTTTTGTTGCCCTTGTGCATTTGCCCTCTTATTACAATAATATATCTGGCTTCCTTCCACCAAAGTTATATATTAATATGTATTACAGGGGTGTGTATATTTCTTACAGCAACAGCATTTACTGTAGGATATGAAAGTATGATAATTTTGTATATTATTATCAGTATATTACCGACTACAATGTACACTACTGTTCAAAAGTTTTTTTTTGTAAGAAAATAATACTTTTATTCAGCAAGGAAGCATTAAATTGATTTAAAAAGTGACTAATAACATTTATAATGTTCTAAAAATGTCTATTTCCAATAAATGCTGTTCTTTTGAACTTTCTATTCATCAAAGCATTATGAAAAAAACGAATCGCTGCTTCAGCCAAAAATATTAAACTACACAAATTTTTTCATCATTGAAAGTAACAAGTAATCAAGTTTCTTGAGCAGCAAATTAGCAGATCAGAATGATTTCTAAAGGATCATGTGACACTGAAGACTGGAGTAATGATGCTGTATTTTACAATATATATTAAAAAATTGTACTTTAGATCAAATAAAATCAGCCTTGTTAAGAATTCTTTCAAATATGAAATAAATAAATAATTCATGCTGCCGTTGTGTGGTGAATTACTGACTGCAGAGAGTTATGAAACCACCAAAACTTCATTTTGTATCATTTGTATTTCATCTTCTCAGATGGTGATTTAATATTCTAATATTGTATATTAAAATGTGACACACACATAAAAACAAAGATCTACAATCAATAGTAAGCAAAAACCCATCTTAATGGGTCATCCAAACGCACAATTTTGAAATTACACAATTTATGATTTAATTATTGATTAGTTTTAAGGAATATGACCCCAGATCATCTTAAAGGGGTCATATGATGTTGCTAAAAAAAACAGAAGAAAACATGTTGCTAAAACATTATTTGGTGTAATGCAATGTGTTTATGCGGTTTAAGGTTTAAAAAACACATTATTTTCCATATAATGTACATTATTGTTGCTCCTCTATGCCCCGCCTTTCTGAAACGTGTCGATTTTTACAAAGCTCATCGTTTTAAAAAAGTGAGGTGTGCTCTGATTGGCCAGCTATCAAGTGCATTGTGATTGGCCGAATACCTCAAGCGTGTGACGGAAATGTTATGCCCCTTAGCATACTGTGATGCCGTCTCCCAGCAGGACGAGACAAAACCAATGAAACCCATTACAAACGAGGCATTTGTTGCATCCAGTGGGGACATAATTACTGATTATAATGACTTATACTGTCTTTTTACGCGTAAACATAAAACCACGTCTGCATTTGTGATCGGAGAAACAACAAGCCTACTCTACACTGTTCAAAACTCGCCTTTTGAATCATCAGTGGCAAATCCTTTAAATATAAAAAACGTACTTACAGGCTGTCAGAAGCGCTAGACTGTCCTTGCAAAGTTGGAACTGCCCAACTTTATAGAAACAGCCTTTGTGCCACAGACGCAGTGTAGGCTACTGGTTCAGGAAACAGTCCTCATCCTCAATAAAATGTGCAGCACACATCTGAATATTTGGGTTGAAGTGTTCTAGTGTTGTAAATACAACTGAATCACTAATTTCTAGTCGTGTCCTCTTTTGGAAGGCCAAACAAAGTAGTTTCGCTTTCACAACGAAACACACAGCGACTCCACAACATGGCAGCGGCGGAAACAGCAAGAATAAAAGTAACGCCTTCTTTCTTTGCGTGAACATTTGGGCGGCGTTATGCAAATCTTCCCACATCGTGACATAGATATGTGGGGGCGTGTTAGAACGAGCCGTTTTAGGTAGGCGTGGTTGACTCTTAACTTTTCTAAAGAATATCTCTTTGGATTTGAGACTTTAGTCTTTGCAACTTTACAGATCTTCTTTATGCACCAAGAGCTTGTAACGCTCCAAAGAGAAAGGACAAATTGAAATCGCATCATATGACCCCTTTTATATAGCTAATTCAATGCCAATCTTTCCAGTGCAACTGGTCCTAAAAGAACAGAGTATTAAATGCCAACCTAAGGGCCACTCAGTATGTAATACAGCATCGCCAAGCCAATGTTATAGTTGTATCCAGAGGACTCGGTGTAGTTGGACCTGCAGAAGGGCAGAACCTGATCCGGGGTAGACGAGTCCATTGAGAAGTCATAGTGACAGATCAGCCCTCTGAATCTAAAGAAATAATAAAAGTACAGAATAAACAGGTGGAAACACAGTAGCAAAGACAGCACAACAATGTAATATGTGTTTTTACCTGCGGTGAGCTTTGAGGTCATCGTCTGTGATACAAGCCCCGCGAGGGTTCTTCTCATCAGGGACATTGGCTGTTGAATCACAGTATGATTATGCATCGCCAGGATGGTCTTAACCCTGTGAAGCCTGAAATGCTTTATCTTTTTGTCTTATTGATGACAGAATTGTCACTCATTCAATTGTTAAAAGCATTACTAAAAGGAACGTTCTTCACCTGTTGTGCATTTCCCAGAGTTTGGCTCCTATCCTCATCTCCCACACACTGACCAATCCCTCGCCACCGCCGCTCACGATCTTCCAATCATCTGCCTGGACGGTGGTCACGCCCATGTGAAGGGCATATAAAGAGACGTCTGACGAGTCCGTACGCAAGTCAAACACTCACTCTGAAATAGAGAAGCAACTCAATGTTATTATCACTACACCTGTGATCCACTGAAAGCGGCAGTAGTTCAAGCACAGACCGTCTAATTGGGCTGCATGATTAATCTAAATAAAACCGAAATCACAATATGGCTTAGTGCAATTATCAAATTGAAATTGCTGTGTTTAAATAAATATACGCACCACCAAAATATACATCCGTCAAAAGGTTTAACATTTGAAAATGAATAAAATAAGATGTCCATAAATATTGTTATTTTACAGTTGTAATTTAAAATGTAATATTTTATTTTTCTAAAAAAAAATAGTCTTTACCATTTTTGGTGAAATATTAAATTTTTATAAATATTTCTGTTTTTATGTATTTTTTAATATTCTTATTTACTCCTACTAGTACTGATTATTATTTCATATTATTTTATAGCCATATTGATATACAATCACAAAATTGTGCAGCTACAAAAAAGCACAGCAAACCTGGAATTTTGTTTAATCACATTTTGAATATATTAATATACAAAGTATTGTAATTATGGTTATTATAGTTAAGTTAACTAAAACCATAAAATGAATTTTCATTACTGGAAATAAAAATATTTTAGCAGAAATATATTAAAATATAAAATGTTAAACTTATTGTATTTCAGCTAGCTGCCAGGGCAACATTTCTAATTTTCATTTTGTTTAATTTGATGTACTAAAATAACAAAAACTTAAAAATGAATAAAAACAAATAAAAATTCACAAAACAACAAAAAATAGAAAATGATAAAATAAAAACTAATGCCAAATATTAATAAAAACTAGCATTAGTAAACTAGTATAATTCTTGATAATTCTAAAATAACACCGAATGTAACCAATTTCAAATATATTGGCCCCTAAGCTAAAACAAAATGAACTGTGGTTGGTCAGTCTCTACATGGTCAGATCTTGGCCAGAATAAAGTGTAAAGTGGACCATACTTCAGTCAAAAGGCTGACTACACAAGACTAATGTGTTACAGAAACTGCAGTATGACAGCTTTCCCCTCTAACAGAGCACCACTGTGGGACGACATTAGTATAAAGCTGGTATAAAGAAATTACTTTTACAGGCCCGAAGGAGCTCAATTCCATCTGTCCTCTTTAATGGTACCGAAGGCAGCCAAAGGATGACTCTATGCTGGTGCTTTCCAAAAGATAATCGACAAAATTAAATTTTGCTTGGACCAAAAAAAAAAAAAAAAAAAAACACTTGGAGGACAAAAGATATTAGTCAGAATGAATCGTTAATGCATGGCCAAGCAGGATTTAATGCTGCGAGTAATTATGTGGATGTGCCTATCTATTGTCCTGGTTTAATTTCATCGAAGCATTTATTCTTGTAAGAGGCTGTAATATATTTACTGGCAGGTTGCAGTGGTCATAAATCTAATGCTAAAACAAGATCTAGTTTCACTGAGCTGTCAGCAGACAGGCTTCCTTCAATTAATCAAGAATATTGTTCACAGGCACTTCCAGTGCCACCAACCGTGAGCAAAAACACCACAGGATACACACGGCCATGAAAAGCACATGTACACAGATAGTACACATGGGCCCATCGTCATCCTCATCATAACTAACTAAAGAGGCTGAACAAATTAGAGAGCAGAAGCGATGCATTAGGTCCTGGCCTTTGGCCATGCTAATAAAGGGCAGGACCTGAGCCCTCATTTCCTCTGGGCTGCTTGGTGTTTTGCCCGCAGATGAATCAGATGGGGTAAAATCATTACAGCCAAAATGACACTCCAAGGAGTGTTTTGCTTCGTTCATTCATCAAAGACGAACAAAAGGTGAGAGCATTCGCTTTGTCGGAACCGTGGAAAGACGGACGAAGAAAGAGGGATGTTTTAAATGAGAGCGCAGCTGGCCAGAGAGACATCAGGTCCTCCCTCTTTGCACTCTATATAGTATCTGAGCGAAGATGCAGTTGGAATTTATTTACAAAGACCTGCCAAGCATCTCTCCACCTGCCAAAATAGTGCTCCCGCTGTCACAAGTGTCAATGAAATGGCTCTTTATTTGGCTAAGACTAATTGAGACGCAAGCATCAGATGTGGACCGCGCTCGGGATTCTGTATTGAGTCCGCAGGGCAGATGTACCGCATCTCTCCTCGTCTCCAACATCTCTTTGTCCACTAAATCAATAGCCCTCAGTGATGCACTGCTGACAATAACACCATCCATCCTTTCAAACCGAGCGCTTTCATTATTCCCATTCCCACTTCTATAAGTGCCTGAGCTTTTCAGATGCTTTCCGTAAAATGATTTTCAAGGTAAACCAAAAATAGTCGAGAGCAGGCCCGAGTGCTCATCGTGCTTTGAAAGGACCACAGCTGTGGGGGGGGAAAAAAAAGTTTTTCCGCTTTGGACATAATTAGGTGTGTTTTATTCTAAGTGCTTTAATCTTGGATATCTAATGCAAATCTATTAAACTCTG